ATGTCATTGGATGAAGGAACACATCCCATTAGCCAAGACACAATATACTAAAAATAAAACATCATGAGGGCTCCAGATTTGTGAGAAAAAAAATAAATAAAAATCACATAACAGTCATGGAGTACTAAATTACTATGACAGCTTTGTGGTTTTTGACAGAAAATTTTGTCTCCTCACCTCACTGAGGGGGCACTAACTACCATCAGCAGCACCCTCTGCCCCAAGCACAGCAAACTGGTGAGGAGGGACTTGGAAGAGAACCCATCTTGCACTTTTTCCTGGCTGAAGTGGTGCCTGCAGCTCCCATGCCGTGGGTCTGGACTGAGTCAGGCCCAGTATCCCACTTTAGACATTGTAACCTGGCACACAGGATCGCAGCACCACTCAGATTTGATTCCCCCATCCTCCTGAAATGACAGAGGGGCAGGTGAGCCATGTCAGTGTCACTGACGCTCCATGCTAGGGATGTCAATGTGCAGTCAACTACACGATTAATTGATAGGACTGGGCTTATTACTTAATCTTGTCAACAACATACACTCTCCTGCCCCCCTCCCCCACCGCTGCCTCTGTGGAAGCCAGTGCCCGTGAGGGGCTGGCTTTAAGCAGATGCCCCATGAGCACCAAATCTGCCTGCCCCGCCTGCTGCTGCCTCTGCAGGCTGGAGCCAATATGCACAGGGAGCCAGCTTTCTAGCAGGCTCCTCAGATCCACCTGCCTCCTACTGAGGCAATAGCATGGGGGGGAGGGAGGGCAGGGGAAGGCTGCCACAAAGCAGTGTCTGTCCATAGTAGCCCAGGCTCACCATGGACAGAGGCTGGTACATGGCAGCAGCCCTTGTCTGTGGGGGGTTTGAGCCCTCTGTGGACAGAGTCTGCTCTGGACCCCCATGGACAGGGGCTGCTGCCACCCCTGGCAGGGAAAGCAACAGGCCTGCATAGGGAGCTGATACAGAGGCAGCATCATGAGGTTGAAGGGGGCTCTCTGGGAGTGGGGCTGGGTGCACATTGACAGCCAGCCCCACCCCTGGGGCCTACTGAATAGTCGTGTAACTGCTAAGTTTTCATGCAGTTACATATCTAACATCTCTACTCCATGCACCAGGTCACATCACCACTCGCTGAAGTTTGGACAGACTCCTCTCCCTTAAATCAGGTGTGGGGAACTTTATTTGGCTAGCGGGCTGCTGACTCACAGAAAAAAAAAATCAGTCAGTGGTCCCAGCCGGGCTAGAGTGGCCCACCACACCATGGGTAGGGGCTGTTCCAACCAAACCCACCACATCTCTCCAAAGGAAGGTGGCTGGACCAGCCTGGCCAAGCACTCTTCATCGTGCTATGGGTGGGTGGTCACGCCAGTCTGGCTAGGCCCGCCGTACTATGCCACAGGTGGGTGGGCATGCCAGCCTAGCCGGGACCACAGCACAGGGGGAGGCCCAGCTGACTTGACGTGCCCCTCCCTGCGGCACAGAGGGTCTGGCTGGGCCACCTGTTAACTGCTTTCCCAGTAAGCGTCACCCAGTAGGAGTGATGCTTAGTGGGGTACTGGTTAACCCTTTACATCCCTAGCCTGCAGTGGAGCAATCCTAGACCCCTGGGACAAGAGCTGCAAGGACTTCTTCAGCAGAATGAGTAACAAACACACACACACAAAAAGCCACGGGCAAACGGGGAAATCATGCTGTGACATTTTCCCACCATGACAAACCTGCAGTCTTAATCATCATTATCGTGAAGGCAAACCCCAAAGGAAAAACACAAGGTCATTGCAGATTGAGCATCATCTGGATTGATCTCTAGCTACAACAATAAGATAAATACTAAAAATGTCCAAATTCATTTCTAATGTTTTGCAATATAAAATCATTTCAACAATATAAAGCTACTGTAAGGCTAATTAGCCAGAGCTGAATTCACAACACAACACTCCCCCAATTCATCTGTAGAAAGTGCACTGTTACCCTCAATAAGGAGCCCAGAGATGGGGAGATACATTTGATCAGTGGCTGACGAAGCTAGGGATGTAAGCGACTAGTCAACTATCCAATAAGCATAAGCTTACTGGATAGTCAAGTAGTGATTCGACTAGTTGCTTCCCTCCTCCCCCCCTCACCCCCGCATCAGAGCAGCAAGAATGGGGGGGGGGGAGAACAGGAGCGAGTGCTGGAGAGAGCTGGCTTAAAAGCCCATTCCCCCCAGCACCATCTCCGTGGCGGGGCATGGAAGGCAGAGGTCCAGCGGGGAAATGGCGCAAGCAGGGACTGAAAGTTGTAGAAAGTGCACTGTTCATCTGAAAGTCCCTGCTCACAACAGTTCATACTACGGTGCCTCAGCCTTTGAAATGTAGCAAGAGTGCTACAGTAGGAACATGGGATGAGTGGGGACTGCTCTATGAGAGGCACCAAAGGGGGTGGGGGAGAACAGGAGCTGGTGCTGGAGTGAGCCAGCTTAAAAGCCGGTGACCCCAGCACTGTCTCCAGGATGCCGCCTGCCACACACACACACACACACACCGCTGCCTCTATCAGAGGCAGTGGAGGGGAGATAGGGGTTGCTTCACAGTAGCCTCACCTGTCCTCAGGGGTCCCAGCAGGGAGCTGGCTCCCCTCACCTCCCACGGACAGGGGCTGCTGAGGGAGCTGGCTCTGTTCATGGCAGCCAGGGCTGGCCATGGACAGAGGCTGCTGCTGGAGCAGCCCCTGCCCACAGCCAGCTCTGGCTGCCATCATCAGGGGCCGCTGGACTCAACACGAGCCAGAACCAAGCAATCACGGCTTGCACTGGTCCAGGGCGGCTCTTACTACATTTAAAATGCAGAGCTGCAGCATGGGTTGCTCCCAGAGCCAGTACAAGCCGGGACTACTTAATCCGTGCTCGAACCGGCTCCTGGAGCTACTCCTGCTGCAGCTCATCAGAGCAGTCCTATCGACTAATCATATTGTTGAGACCTAATCATATATAATTGATACAATTTGTAATCACCATTCAACATCCTTAGACCCAACCATTTTTGTCAATTCACACTAGAATGATGAATCTTTGGATTCATTAGTTAAATTCCTGGCTCTAAAAGCACAGTATGTTCCGGTGGTTAGAGACAACATATCAAAGTGTAACAAAACTCTTTTCTGGATTATCTGTAAGGACTGAACCTAAGATCTCTGGATCTAAAAGCATGAACCTCTATCCTGCAATCTGGTACTATACCAATTATCATTCAAGTATTCATAGACTCAAATGTCTGTATAGGGTCTAGCCAAAGAGAGAGGCAAAACAATCATACTGTGTTAGTATGAGTTAGATAAGTATGTGATTTGGCTCACTTCATCTGAAAGCCAGTGTTGAAAACAGATGAGACGTACTTCCCCTCCGCCCCCCATCTATGCTTTCCGTTACCCTGTGCAATATTTTATTTACCTTAACTATAAAATAAGCCAATATACTTGCCACCTGTAATGAGACCTTCATTAATAATAGTGGTGAGATTCACTGAAATACTATTAACACAATTGCTAGGATTTGAACCCAAAGTGTCTTGGCTTGCAGCTGAGCATGCTTACCCTTAAGTTACAGAGCACTGCTTCGGGGAAACTCTATTTTACCACTTGTGTGGGAATGTAAGACAAGCCAACAGCATGTGTCACCAATACACAAAATACATGACATTTAGTAGGCCCAAGGAAGATGGAATATAGATTCTCTGACAAAAGTGAGAAAATCAACAGTAATTTTGTATCAGACTATGGAAGTCTAAAGATAGCAAAAGAGGTGGCATCGTTGGAAAATAAATCATTAGGAGTACAAGAGCTGCAACTAATTGGCATAATAATCATGATGATTATTATGCCAGCCTTCATCGGCAGTGACTGGGTTGCTGGTGTGCTGAGTAGGGATGTAAATCCCTCTTTAAAATGTTAACTGGTTAAACAATGATATTTTAACGAGTTAACCAGGGTCCAGATAGCCTACAGTGGGCAGAGTGCTCCTCCAGCCTGGCCCTCCATGAGTGGTGGGGTAGCTCTGGCCAGATAGGATCCTGCTGTGTCGCAACCTGTGGGTCTGTGCCAGTCAGATGGACCCCTGCCATATTGTGCCATGGACAGAGGGCTGGTTAACCCTTTACAACTCTAGGGCTGAAACCATACCGAAGAACAGCCATACTGGTCAGACCAAAGGTCCCAATAGCCTATCTTCCAACAGTGGCCAATGTCCGATGCCCCAGAGGGAATGAACAGAACAGGGAATCATCAAGTGATCCATCTCTGTTGCCCACTCCAAGTTTCTGACAAAGGCTAGGGACACGGACACCTACCCATCCTAGCTGATAGCCATGGACGGACCACAGCCTATCATGTTGTTCAATACTGCTGCATTGTTTCCTTGTACTCCCCAATTTGTCCAGATCCATCAGGAGTCACTTATCTTGCACTTAGACTGCAGGCTATTTAGGATAGTGACCATCTTTTTGTTTTGTACAACACATAGCACACAGATGGGTCCTGGCTCCCAGCTAGTGCTACTTTAATACAAGTAATGAATATGTAACAGCGATAATAAAACTGAGCAGACTGCATTGCTGGTAGGGTGCGACGTGAAGGCAGGCAGCTCTCCAGGCAGTTCTCCTCTTAGGCGGCAGTTCTCCAATGAAGACTACGACTGACCTGAGCAGCCAACCACCCGTGAATGTCGAATAGCACCAGGGCACTGTGCCCTGCCTCGCTCCAGGGGGGCGGCCCTACGTGTGCATGAAGGGAGCTAGCATATGGAAAAGCCAGCTACGACTGCCTGGCCAGGGGCCTCCCAGCGGGTGCCAGCCACGCACTGGCTCTGCTCCAGGCGATGCCAGCCGGCTGCCTGGTTGCATCTCCTCCAGGGTCCCTCCCGGGCAGGCAGAGCCCCGCCACCACTGGGCACGGGACGCCGGCCATGGGGTGACGGCGCTGGGCACCAGCCGCACGCAGCCCGCCCCACCACGCTGCAGAGCCCGCGCCCGCCCCTCACCGTGTAGCCTCGCTCCAGGTCGCTCTCCTCGTAGCGGAAGGACGGGATGTAAAGCTCCATGGCGCGCGCCGGGGGCCGGGCCGGCGGGGGGAGTCGCGCGCCGCAGCGCTCCAGGGCGGCAGCAGCGGCAGCTCCCCCGGATCGGAGCCAGCTGGGAGCGGGTCACGTGACGCGCCGCGAGCCCACATGACGCCAGGACGCGGCGGGGGGAGGGGATGCGGAGCAGCTCCGCCGCGCGCGCTACACTGCGCCCCAGTGCCCGGCCCGCCTCCGTGCGCGTGTCCTGCCGCCTGCGACTCCCCTTCGCTCCTTCCCCGTGAGCAGCAGGGACGTGGCGGGGCTGCCCCCATTTAGTCGCAGCCTTGTTCCTTCTCCGTCTGCTCAGAGCGCCTCCGCGTCCTCGCCTTTGTAAGCCAGCCTGGGGGCAGCGCGGTTACTGGACCCTGCACACGCATTTTCTGGCAACTGCTGCCATTCAAGGCTCGGATTTGCACTCCTGCGGGTCACCTGCTTCAGCTGTTCGCAGTCAAACCAAATCTGGGTACCATAATTTCCATGGCAACTGGTTGTGGTTGCTGGTGTAGAGCAGAGGTGGGCAACAAAACAACCGCGGTTCACCCAGGGTTAGACCCTGGTGGGGCACTGCGCTAGATGTACCTGCACCCCTGCAAGTACAGGCCATCACAGCTCCCACTGGCCAGGAACAGCGGAATCCGCCAACAGAGGCTGTGATCCCCTCAGTGGAAGCACAGGTAAATACAATGGTGTGGGGGTCCCACCATCAGGGCTAACCTTGGCAGACAGGATCCAGCCCGCAGCCAGTATTTACCCACCCCTGGTGTAGAGGAATAAACAGATCAATCTGTAAATATTATTGGTTTTATGCACCTGCTTTACTAATAGGAAAGAAGTCCAAACAACAGCAGCCTGTAGCATAGCATCAAATGCCAAATCGGTGTTCTCTATGATGCTTTATGGACTTTGCAATTAGTAGGCATTAAATTCTCATTCTCATCTATGCATTTTCATGCTGAGCTAGTCCAGGTAAAACCTACAAGAGAAACAGGAAAGAAATACAGAAGAAACAAAGTCAAAAGTAGGATGGCCTAAAACAGAGATGATCAAGATGCAGCCCATCACGCCTTTTGATCCGGCCCATGGCCTGAGACCCCTACGTAGGCCCTTTGCCTGCTGCAACCCAAGGCTGTTCAAAATGGTTGGCATCTCCCTGTAGGTGCATGTGCCCCTGGTGGCGGAAGAGAAGGGACTTCACTCACTGCCCCCATCCACAGTCCAATAACCCCTTAAGCCTAAAACAAGCAAGTTAAAGAGTTTCCCAAGAGGCATCAGCACTTCTCTGTTAATAGAAGGTAACAGATAATAGCATACTATCCCAGAACAATACTCCTGTTTCCTGTTGAATCTTTCACTAATCGTACTATCTCTTGGCACCATTTTCAGTTTACTGTTGACTCTACTCAAGGGCACATAATTCACATAGCTAGTCATGCATGAAACAGTGACAAGCCAACCAGTAAACAGCTGGGGGTAGGGGTTAACGCTTCAAAAATGATGCCAGATAACAGTTGCAAACTCTGACTTTAAAATTGTTTACAATCCATTCCACTTTAAATTAAAGGACATCTTTGCCTGGAAAGGCTTTTGATAGATTTTTGTTAAACTGTTCATTGTACGATTAAAATTATTTTGTCTTCTAAAGTATGAGAAGTTTGGTTTCTAGGCCCAGATTCAAGAGTTATAAAATCATCTACTGTATATTGAGCTAACATCAATTAACAATACGGAATTTTTCTCCTTCATCCCTATCTCCCATAGGGAAAAAAAGCATCTACTATTCACATTACATCTTCAGAAAATAGATTCCTTGCAACATGCAATGAACATAATAGTTTTTGAACTTTGGTGAACTGATCAGGAAGGAAAAAGGGAGCAAAGTCTCCTCAGAACACCTTTTCATCAGTCCTGGAAACCTAGAAAGCATCTGCCTTACCATTCTAGCTTTAAGTTGCGGGTGTACAGCACAGAATTAGGGAAAAAAATCTGGTCAGGAGCTTTCCTGTTGACTCTAGTGAATGTCAAGATTTGTAGTTACTACACAAAACCCAATTTAGTGCATTTCATTTGGAAACTGACACTAAGTGCACCTGCTTTAAACAGATCCATTAAATTAGTATTGTTTTGTACAGATGAGGAAAAATTGATTGTATTCTGAAACATTTTGAATAATCATTTCTCCTGTCTGACAAAACTTCCATTAAAATGTCATTTTGCTGAACAAAATACAAAGGAAGGAGCAGATGTTTATTTGTTTGAAAGATTAATTTTATACAAACAAAATTTAGCCCAAAAGCAAATATCTGAACTGATGACAAAGTAAATTTTGAAGGCAAGATCTAAGTGAAATATTAGCAGTATTTGATGCATCTCCATGCAGCTCTGTAGCTAACAGTTCATATAACACTTTTCTCTCCCCTATGCAAATCTTACTAGCCCCAAACACCAGCCATCCATCTTGGAGTGATAGAAGACAACCGCCGCCAACCTCTTCTTCACAGAATAATATATGCAGATCTATTACCTTTCCTTCTTACAGTTATGACAACTAACAGACTTGAACACACTAACAGACTTACACACACACATACTTTTGTTTCCAAGTTTCTCTTTAGAAAAGTGGCCAGTCTAGTAATTTTCCTAGCTCTTCTCACATTGGAGTTTTCCTGTAATTGTTGCATTTATATAGCATGTTAGCCCTATGCCCTGGTAGGGCTCTGGTTTCTATGTAATGAAATAAAAACAAATAGAAATACAACAACGTTGTTACAAACATCCTATTAACTTTTAAACAAATCAAAATAAATGATGTAAGTATTCATACCAACTCTTATCATATTTCAGTGCCATAAAAATCATCATCTATGACGTTCCCTTAGTAAGGTGATCTAGTTAACCAGACCTCTTCATTCATCCCTTCTATTTTTCCCTTCTGTGGAAAAGCTTACCTGAAGTGTATTTTACTCTTTGCTCTGTAAAAGCAAAGGAAGGATCTGTGACCAAAAGAGTTGTCAAGGCAATTCTCCACTGTGACACTTTGGCTACGTCTAGGCTGGCATGATTTTCCGGAAATGCTATTAATGGAAAAGTTTTCAGTTAAAAGCATTTTCGGAACAGAGCGTCTAGATTGGCCACGGACGCTTTTCCGCAAAAAAGCCCTGATCGCTATTTTCGCGATCAGGGCTTTTTTGCGGAAAAGCGTCCGTGGCCAATCTAGACGCTCTGTTCCGAAAATGCTTTTAACTGAAAACTTTTCCACAATCTTACATGAGATCGTCAGTGCTTTTGCGGAAATTCAAGCGGCCAGTGTAGACAGCTGGCAAGTTTTTCTGGAAAAGCAGCTGATTTTCCGGAAAAACTGGCCAGTCTAGACACAGCCTTTGAGTATGGGGAGGGGGGCACAAGAGACCTTAAAAAAATCACTAAAGATTTCTCCTTTAAAAAGATCACGGAGTCTCTGAGTTTGGTTGGTACACTGCCACCACCCAAATGCAAAAAAAACCCGTGAAAGCATGGAAGATGCACTTGGGAATTTTTTTCTGTGTGGTAACCCCAAGCTCTTGAACCCTCTCTTAGGAGAGAGCTTGAAGACAAACTCATCTTTTAACCTTCAGTCTCAGGCACATGCACACCAGGGATGTAAAATACTATTTAATCAGTTAAACATGAAATGTTGGGGTTAATCAATTAAGCGGAATCCCGGGTTGGGGACTGCTTCAGCCCAGCTGGAGAAGTCCTTAGTCCTTCGCAGGGCTACCAGTTCCCAGCCCAGCTCATGGCATGATGGGGTCAGGGGGAAAGGGGCTGGAGCATACGTGGAAGGCTGCAGGTGAGGGGCTACTCACAAGTGCCAGTTAACCATTACCCGGTAAGCATTATCAGGTAAAGGTGATGCTTACCTGGTAAATGGTGAACTGGTTACATGGTTAACCGGTCACCTATTCACATCTCTAATGCACAAAATCTCCTGCATTCTAGGACATAGGAATCAAGTTATAGTTTTAAAAAGGTGATTTTATTAACAAAATAAAAACATATATTTGGTAAAAAATACTTGGCTGTTATGTGTTATAGAGCTACTAAAAAAACCAAATTAAAGAATAGATAATTGCTTTTCTTGGATTTAGTTTTAGTTACAACGTATGGGGGGGAGGAGTGTTAAATCAGCAAAGAGAAGTCCCACAAACTGATAAATAAATACATTACCTGATTCTATCTACTACTCATTCCCTGTCTACTCACATCTGTTGTTCTAAAGTCCCATCCTTTCTAGATATACATAGTGCTGAAAATTCCATGTCTGGTTTCCAATGCTTACTTCATTTCTCTTCCTGCTCCGAACTCACAAAAAGAACTAAAACAAGCAGAACCTGCTTTCAATTCAAAATTCTCACTCTCTTCCCATTGGCTCTCCTGGCTCCCTGCCAACACTTCCTGGAAACCCATTATTTCTGGGTTTAATCCTTTACAGAAAGTTTAATTAACTGAATGGCTGGGATGTCTAGAAAAGGTCAGTATGCCCCTCCCATCCATCTCAACAGTCAAAGACAAAATTAGAATAAAAATATTTAAATATTACAGATTACACATCTATACAAAACACATCAACATCAAACAAATCACAGAATGTACTGAAGTCAGGGCTGTCAAGTTCATCGTCCATTCCCCTCTACACAAGGGGAGTACCTGAGCTATGGACTGTAGACTTGGAGTTGTAATAATGGCTACAGGGCAATGGGTGGCAAAGACAAAATTAGAATAAAAATATTTAAATATTACAGATTACACATCTATACAAAACACATCAACATCAAACAAATCACAGAATGTACTGAAGTCAGGGCTGTCAAGTTCATCGTCCATTCCCCTCTACACAAGGGGAGTACCTGAGCTATGGACTGTAGACTTGGAGTTGTAATAATGGCTACAGGGCAATGGGTGGTGCTCCATAGTGTAGACTGACGCCCCAAAGTTATTTATATTTATATTTATATATTTATATATTTATATTGTAGCTAATTTCATCTATTTTCCCAGCCTAGGAGACATTAAATATACAACAGTGGAAAAGATAAACTATGTAACAAATCTAGGCCAGCCAGATTAGT